GGCTGGCTGCGGGTCAGTGCCGCGCCTGTGAGACTCCACTCGCGAAACTGCTGATCTGTGTACATACAGCCCTCTCTGTATGTTGAAAAAAGGGATGCGCACACTGAGTTTTTCCTCTGTTTGAAGTTTACGGAGGTGCATTTGAGGTGGTGTGTACCAGTGCATTGAATCATGGTAAGATTTACAGTGTTCTTTGAGTTGTGAGGTCAGGGTTTGTACCTACCGTGTTATTTACAAAAGAAGAAACAACTTTTAAATGTGTGTGCTTTGAGTTCTGCCCTGGAGGGGATCAGCATGGTATGTTTGTAACCAGGCTTTGTTTCATGATATTAAAAAGGATGTCCTGTTGGTTGGCTGTGTTCATGTATCAACAGTCTGTTTCCCTCTCTTCCTTTGCAAAAGTTGGTAACTTTTAAAGAATTTGTGCGGGGATTTGCAGTACAATCACAGAAGTACTTAGGTACTGTAGCTGGTGGCACTGTCTGTTACACTGAATTCAGGATAATTGTTGGCACGGCAAAATATGGGGAAGTATTTTGTGTGGACCGCTGCTGGTGCTATGCCATGGGTTCTTTAGATGTCATAGTGTGCGTGTGTATTCTTAGTATGTTTGGTGAGCTGAAAATTACTCTTCAAATGGTAAATTCATTGTTTACAGTTTGATATGCTGTAGGATTCCCTGCTGGTTTTAAAAACTTTTGTTCAATTTCATTTAATTTCTGTATGCATGGTGCACTTTGGTTCCTTTGTTGGCAGGTCAGATCCCATCAGAAAATGTTGATGTATGGGAGGTCTTCCACTGAATTGAAGAGGGAGTGGACTGGTGTGTGTGCAAATTGAGTCTTTTAAAACTAGTAGACATCCACAGTGTCGACAGGAGCCTTTTTGAAATGGAATAACTAAATCTGTCATTAACACTAGGTGTCAGGTGGCTGATGCCATAATTCCACATCTACTTAAACTAGCTGTGCTGTCAGAGGAAACTGCCTTTTCTCCAGGCACCCAAAGAAGCTAACTTTAACTTGGATCAATTATCTGTTCTGGTTTGCTGTATATATTCCCAAATATTAAGTCGACACAAGAGAGACACAAGTGACACAAGGACAAAACTGCTTCTGGTGTCTGTGTTGGGTTATACCTGCTCGAAGCGCTTGTGAAACTAACAGAAATGGGCTGTGAGGACAGGATTAGGTTTCTTTGTGAGTAAAAGTAGCTGTAGCTGCTGATGGACTATGAGTTATAAGAAGGTAGGGTTGAAGTGGGTTTGTATAGGTGACACAGACCTTCAGGCTTTCAGGAATCTTTCACAACAGGCCGAAGTTTTCTGCTTTCACAGATGGTGGTGCAACCCATATGGTTTATCTGCCTTTACTCATGATAATCAATTTATGCGCATGTGTGGAGCTGAAACTGCTGATTAGTTCAGAGTGTGCCTTGGTCATTAACAACAGAATAAGTCCATTCAAACTCAAGTTAACAGCTACAAGTAGTAGTTGCACATTAATCCACTTTCATACATTTTTTCATGGAATTGTAGATTGGTTTGGGTTGGAAGGGACCTTGAAGATCATCTAGTTCCAGCCCCCTGCCATGGGCAGGGACACCTTGCACTAGACCAGGTTGCTCAAAGCCTCATCCAGCCTGGCCTTGAAGACAGCCAGGGGTGGGGCATCCACAGCTTCGCTGGGCAGCTGATTTTACTGATTTAGAAATACATATTGGCTGATGATCAGCTTTGGGTTTTTTCTGAGTGTACTATTAGAGACAAATCTGTTGCATAAATGTCACTCTGGTTCAAATAGAAGACTTATTTTTGTGCTTTTATTTTTAGGCTCCTGCTTACCATCTCATTTTGGAAGGGATTCTAATTCTATGGATAATCAGACTTCTTTTTTCAAAGACATATAAGCTTCAAGAACGATCTGATCTAACACCTAAGGTACGGCGGAAACATATTTTTCTTTAAAGAAACAGTTAATAGCTATTGATGTATTTGTCTGTTGGACTACTACTGTAATTTAGCATTACAAATTGCAAAGGGTTTGCAAAGGGTAAGCTTAATTTGGACTAAGAAACTGCTTAAACAGTTCAGTTTGTGCTTTTGAAGTAGCTCTGCATTTGAGATTTTGAAAAATACAATAGAACTGATGTAACTGTGACTACTCAGCTATGAAAAGCTGGCGTTAGCTCTACTCAATGGATGGCTTTGGTTTAAAAATGGAAGCTATATGAAAAAACCCCACCAAGCAAAATGAACTATAAAAGTGTAGAGAGTATGATCAGTCTGTAGATGTGGTATCTGTGAGTAATAACTCTGAGGGTTTACAGTGCTAAGTGGGTTCTAGAAAACTTTGTAGTTTAGTGGCAGTTTTCTTGTTTTGCAATGTAGTAGTCTCAAAAACGCAAAAACAACAACAACAACAAAACCCAAAAAACCCCAAAAACTGTAATTGTTTGTGAAGACAGGAATTACTCCCTGACTTTTGGCTGGAAACTGTCAGGAGCGAGTAGAGTTTGTTTTGGAGATGTCCCTGGACTAGTTTGTCTGAGACATGGTCTGTTATCGGGCTTGCTGCAGAATGTCAGAGAATGCCTTTGGATATACTTAAAGGATGATTGGATCCACTCTCTGAAAATACCGAGGTGAACCAGGACACACTCATTTCTGTCAGTCAAAGATGAACTATAGCGATGTATTGCAATGTGACAACCACCTTGTGTATGGGACGGGTTGGTGGGAAGGATGTGAAGTCCCGTGTAACAAACAAGCTTCGTTCACTAGAGCTTCAGGGGAATGGTACCCTTTATGAATGGGGTAAAGGACTGGAATTTCCTCATGGTACTGAGGAAGGTTTGTGAAAGAAATTTACTGGTATTTTACCTTGTCGTTCCCATCTATATTGTGGGGTTGTATGCTTTTTGATCTTGTTCTTGCTAAGGATACATGTTAAGTATGTGGGCTCGGTGCAGTGCATCGATGAACAAGATGCAGGGACTATAAGCACAAGGCTGTAAATGTGAGCAAATCTGCAGGCAGTGTCCTCTTTTGGGGAGTACTTACTAAACAAGCTTAAAGTATTCTAGGAAACTCTTTATTTATTGGAGTCAAGAAGTGAGCTGAGCAGCAGTCAAGAAAGGCCAGTTCAGCTTTGTGCTTGGAAGGGTATGAATTGATCCTGGGATTCTTGAAGTTTGCCACCTTTGATAAGAATGAAGAGGAGTGAACACAAAGGGACGTCCTGTGTCCTGAAATTCTGAATGTTTAGATCATCTAGGAAGACAAGCTGTAGATTTAAAGTAGCCCCTCTTTGTCCACAGGAACATAAAATGAATATTATAGTTCATTTAGTACAGTTTTCCTGCATCAGATGGTTTTGATCTCTGTTATTTTGGAGGATAACTTTTTTTTTCCATTTTCCCTGCAATAGATGGTGGGAAAAGGCTCTTTGCTACTCTGACATAATTGTTGACCTGAAAAAGCTGGAAACTCTCTTCCTTACAGAGTAAGGATTGCACTCAGATATTTATGTGCCTCTGGAATGTTATCCACTTGCAGGTCATCTCCTTCATTTGCTGGCAGACCCTTTTTAGTGAAGTTGAGGTGTTTTAAGAAGATACTCAGACAAATCTGGAACAGTGGTATGGGCAGAAGAAAGTTGTTCTGTATCTTCCTAAATGGTGTAATGAGCAATTGGAAGATTGCTGGTTTAGCTGGTCTGCTGCAGCTCAGTGGAAGCAGGGACTTAGAAGGGGATCAAAAGGGGAAAAACATTTGGAAATGGCTCATGCTTAATAGCAATTGTACTTTTGCAGGATGAGAGTAGTAACGTTAGCTGGCAGTTCAGCAGTAGCAGGCTTTCTGAAGAACAGAAGCATGCAAATATGTTATTGCTGGGATACTTCTGGTGAGATTTATACAAACTTCTCTGAGCTTGAGTGGTGGAAAGGAATGTAAATACTAGCAAAAATACAAAGTGATCAAGAATTGCATTTTATAGCTAGTGGATACATTGATTCACAGTTGCAGGGCCCAGAAGTAAAAAAAATTAGGGTGCTAAGAGGTGTGTTACAGCAAAGGGTTTGACTTGGGATGTTAAAGACATCAATGCTTCTAGGTTTTTGTTCCCTGTGTCTTAGTGGCAAGAAGAATAGTGTGGGGGAATGCTCTTTGGTCTGATGGTATGTTCAGGTTGGCTGACGATGAAGGAAGTTAGTCTAGTTGGCTTTACTATTGGACTCTGAAGATGGAAGCAGTGGTTTCCATAGGAAGAACTGCACTCGGAAGGGAATGTCTTGTCTATAGATAGTGTACTGAAAGTAATCATAAATACAACAGTGAAGTGAAAGTGTGCATGAATCTTCTACAGCTGGAGGACTTAAGCAGACTGATACATCAGAGTTGCGGAGTGATTCCATCTCTTTTTTCACAGTGTATGTCAGTGTAGGTAGTTGCTGTGAAAAGAGCTCATTTATTTTGTGCAGGGAAATAGCTGTGGGGGGGAAAAAAAAAAACATGCCTTAATCTTCACTAAAAATCCATGGTTAGTTGACACTGGCCTGTGTTGTGGGCCAGTAGGCAGTTAAGCACTGCACAGCTGCTAGCTCATTTTCTCCTCCACCCATGTGGGCCCGGGGAAGAGGAAAGGAAGAG